TTAAAAGCTTACCCCATAACTTTGATATCATTTTATAAAGCTGTTTCTAGTGATGGCTACAAACCTGAAACAAAGAAAAATTGCTTATAAAACGGTTTACCTGTCTTATGCTTTATATGGAACCAGTAATTACGTTTATTTGACACACAGAAGTCAAAAGGTTAGTAGGTATCAATGCTGGGCAAACTCAATTGATCATTTTACGTGTTCGTAACCAGCTTTTTGTCACAGCGTCTAACTTGTGCTGAACATAATCCTTTTTGAACTGATACCGCTGCATGCAAAGTGTATAGTCAACCTACTCGACGCCATTTTTTTTAAATAGTGTGCCAATACTATAACAAAGTGCGATAGATTTTCATAGATATTGAACCACGTCAATCAACAAACAGTACGACAAAAAAATAGGGACGAATAACAGGATATCTTTTTGTTTCTTTTGCAAAACATTCTCAGACAGGTGGTCTGCCATTTGAAATATCATTTTCGATAAATACAGGTAGGTAAACTTGACAAACTAATTTCTTCTTCGTAATTTTTATTTAAGAAAACTATTTTACTCAACTTTAGTATTCAGCGATGAAATAAAAACGTACTAGACTGCTGCTGTAAAGTACTAAGATAAATCACCTACTTAATCAGCAAAAAAGATATATCAACCGAGGAAATTTTTCGGAAAGGACAGAAAAAATTAATATCTCAAAAACAGTGAAAGCTTTACTAGGGTCATTTTTTGGTTATGTTGTAGATCTACCTTTCGCTTATTTTCCCCATTATTTTATCGTACTATTTACCGGGCACCCTGTATGTAGTTGCAGACCTAACTCCCCTAAAAAGTTGATAAAGATACTAGTAAATTGTTGACAGATGTAACTTCATCTTAGCTCCGTTCTTGCAAAATCGAAGTTATTTCAACCGAAACCCAATTTGAGGCCGGCCTTAACATACGGCCTTTGATAAGCTAGTTATATTTCCATGAAGTTCGGCTTAGGGCCGTGTCGTCGGTCGTTCCTACAATTGTAGGACGCCTTTATGGCCTCCTTGACTTTCATAGTATTTTTACTACTTCTAGATTTCTATTGATCCGTGTCAGCGTCAGTTCTCTCCTATTGTGAGGCTGTTTTATTTTTGACTTGCAAAATATGGATGCAGGATGATATAATAGAATCAAAAGCTTGAACAATTTAATGCATATAGGTATATATAACATATCTTCAAAATAGAGCGCTGACGCGGAACACTAGAAAACTACGAAAATCAATCATCATGAAAGCGTCCTACAGTTGTAGGAATGACTGACGATACGGCCCTTAAGTCAAAAAAACTCAGGTAAAAATCATTATTTTTGAGGTTGCAGTGTATCTAAATTGAAGCACAAACTTTAGTAACCTATTACAAAATTTGCAGCGGGTTACAATTTTCTCATTCATGTCAACACACTTAATTATGAAAAAATATCGTGCTGTATAATTTCTCCCTCAATGCCGAGCTTTTACCCGTCTAAAATGTTGGTTTCATACGCTTAGTGGTTGACATCTACACAGAAATCTTTTACAGTTCTATAACGAAAACGTTATCACTCTGATCAAGACCAATATTTTCCTCATCGAGATCCCATCAAAAGGCAGTCCCGTATACCTGCAAAGCTCCAAGAAAGAGCCGGCTTATAACCGCAAAATATGATCGTCCCGACAACAGAAGGTATTGTTGGCAGGTTGCGGTTTGACCATTGTCCAACTAAACCGGACAAGTGTTTGCCGGCCCATTCAGTGACCCTTTTCTCCTTTCACAGGCTGCCGCCCTATCTAGGGCAAGTCCGAGCGTGGGAGAATTCAAAAATAACACCTTGCCCTTCCCAGACTGACCAGGTGATTGTGAAGGGTTCGGCCCTTTGTGAAAGAATGCGGATAGTCGTTTAGCTTATCTTGTAAGATCTTTGTAATTGAATGGGTCATTTCAAACACCTCATGTCACCCAACTTAATATTTCAATGAGAGAATAATGGCTTCGAGTTATTGATATGCCGAATAACCTACACAGTTTAATGATAACTAAAGTAAACTATTTTAAGCCCTTATTTTATATAGATTATGCATTAGTTTTGTTGCCATCCTCATTTGTTATTGTTAAAAACCATAGCAACGCTACTCAGATATTATCCAAAGCTACTTGATTATTACGTTATGAAAATGTGTTATCATTATTGTACAAATAATGCATTGGAACTTTTAAAAACAAATATCTCGAAAATAATTAGCCACTATCAGTCACTTCTAACAAGGAAACCTTTTTTGTTGTGGAAATACGAGAAAATAAGTTTTTTCGGTCGGTTGGTGTATGCAGGGTAGCGCAAAAAAGATATGATAAATTATTTACCGAAATAGTGCTGAAATTTGGCCATAAAAAATGACGGATTCTTGTTTATCATACTAGAAAACCTCCCTATATCGAGTTTTATGCCAAAATCTGAAACAATTCTCAAGCAATAATGAAAAATAGAAAATAAACTTGTAACTTGGCACCCTGTATCTCGCAAACCATCAACTTTTGGATAAAGGTATGTTTACGTCATATCACATATTTTGGTCTGCAGTATCTCCAGTTTCGAGATTTTCCAACCTATCGCAGACAAACAATAAAAAAACAAAGATAAATTGCTTGTAAAGATGTATACTTTAATGGAAAATTATTTATCAAATAGACCGCAATCAGTAAAATTATTAAGCTCGTATAGTAAAGAAACGTTTGTTAAATGTGGTGTTCCACAAGGTACAATTTTGGGTCCTCTGTTATTCAATATTTATTTAAACGATATATTCAAAATTAACAGTACTGGTAAAGTAGTCAGTTTTGCAGACGATACTGCTATACTCTATAAAGGTAAGGATTGGAACGACTTAAAAGATATTATCCAAAATGACTTTTGCAAAATTATTCAGTGGTTTAATAACCGAAAATTTACAATTAACTTTACTAAAACTCATTTTTTACCATTTTCATCACTATCTAATCATTTACCAAAATATAACCACCTTCGGTTTAAGGTAAATGATAAAAATATAAAAATCAATAGAGTTAATGATACAAAATATTTAGGAATTTATCTAGATCCCCACTTGAGATGGGATGTACATATTTCTCACATACTAAAGAAAATTAGATTCATAGCATATAAAATAAAATTTCTAACCGGTATATTAACTGAATATTATCTACGAATAATATATCAAGCTTTAGTCGAGCCACACATAAAATATGGTATAGTAGTGTGGGGTGCTGCATGCACGACATACTTTAACGATTTAGATGTACTTCAAAGAAGAATTTTAAAATCAATGTTAGGCAAATCAAAATTATACCCAACTAATGACTTATATAATGATGCACAAGTATATGATACTAAACAACTTTACTTCTTACATACCATCATTCATTATCACAAAACTATTAGTGAACACGACATAATTAAACATAATCATAAAACCAGATATAAATTACGCGCAAAAAATGTTCCTAAACCAAACAAATCCCTAATGAAACGATGTCACCTGTATATAGCTCCAAAATTGTACGAACATTTACCAAATAATTTAAAACAATTACGCAATACATTAGACTTCAAAAAAAAATTAAAAAAATTTATTAACACGATTGGGAGAAATCAAATTAATAAAATAATCTCAAATATTACACAATAAATGCTCTACCATTCTTACCCATAATTTCTTTTTTCTCTCTATTTTATTATATTTTACAATTCAACATACATATGATCCATGCACAGGCGTTGTCCTCCTATGGATATATTATATTTATTTACTCGTTTCATTATCCCTGTATTTTAGAGTAAATTAATATTATTATTATTATTATTATTATTATTCTGTATATATTCAAAATATGTACTTCTTAGGAAAGGGCTGAAATACAAGGAGGAAGATAGAGGACGTGGGATAAAGCTTTTTTACAAAGTATTATCATTATGAGAAACAGTGCACAGCACTCTAGTGGCTGGATTTGACATAGCCGGCTTGGTCAGCTAACTGGACTGTCTACTTAGGTCAAAATTGGATTCACTGATTTGTCCTTCTTCCAAAGTATGTCATCTGGGATTCAGTAGCGGAACATATTCTTGATACATCCCTCGTATAGACGCAACCATTAGGCCACACATGCTCGATAGTTCTACTACCATTTACGCGCCCCATTTTTTTCAGCTACCTTATTGACATTTGAGGTTTACTCGGTCAATAATAATTTAAAGGCAGGCATTTGTCGCGACCAATTAGTATTTAAAAGGCGGCTAAAACAAACGACGGCGATGGTGACACGATGTGCATTTGTTTTCACGTAAAAACGGCGATCCAGGTGCGTCTTTTATGGCGAGAACGAACGTTGGCCTTTACGGGTGCATCATGGCACACCGCGATAGTTCCAGCAAAAACGCGTTTAATTTGTGTGGCTTGCATATTCCGTCGCATAGGCGTCACTGAGAATATTTGTATTTCCTTTTTTTTATACTCCAACCGCCACGAAGGGCTAAGGCCTAAGCACCCATGGGGTACCGTGGGGCTATAGGGGGATACAGGGGAAAGGGGGAACGCACATGCACACATTCTGGCCCCGCATTCGAGATCCGCTGGGTAGTACCTCTGCGTTTGACAGTCAGAGACCATCTACCACCTAAGGACAATCACAACATCCATAGCCAAGAGAAAAATTTCTCCTGGGACGGGATTCGAACCCGCATAGCGCACTGCGACTGATCAGGAGACCGAAGAGTCTACTAGTGCGGCCACCGCTGCTGCCTATGGCTTCCAACGAATGTACTCTCCGGGTAAGCCGATCCAGCCTGCTGGAGATCTGCTCGAGGTGTGCGCGCGTGCTGTGTGTGGCTCCGCCCATCGTGAAATCGTCACCGCCCCCTCCTGTGGGCGTGACAGATGCTGCATGCTGTTGCAGGATGGTGGTTGTCGGAGTTGTTGTGGCTGTGGTGACCGTCATCGCATCCAAGGGGACCAAAAGGTCATCTTGGGTAATCGCTCCTCGATGCTGCCCATAGATAGCAGCGATATGAGGCAGACCAGGACTATTCGTACAATAACTGGTACTACTTGATACAGCTGCTGAGGCGACGTGATGGGCCACCACCCACTGGAGGCGGCCGATATGGCGACAGGCGTTGTCTGACGATGGCTGCTAGGCGGCATCGATTGGGCTGTGATCGAATTAACAGTCGTAGATCGCCGTTTCTCTTCACCAAAGTCCAAATTCAGTGGCGTCACGTCTTGCCCAGCTTTGTCGGTGTTAGATTCTAGAATTCCATGGCCGTATTCGGATTCATCACTATATTGTGATTCCTGTTTTCCGTTCACAGAATTGCCTCTACTTGAGATATAGTCGAAGGTACACCCTTGAAGTGCGTACGCCATGTTCATCACGAAAAACCATGATATCTGTCGGTCTGTATGTCTGTCTATCTATCAGCTAATCCTCCATAATTTGGAAAGTATTGCTCGGATTAAGATGAAATTTTTACACAAGGTTACTACTATGCCAAGTACGAAAAGCTTTATAGTTTTTGAAAATCCATCCAGGGAGGAAGCTACAAGCAAAGACGGAAAAATAAAACCACTAAAGCTTGGATTGGCTGCTTTAGGGGCTGGGGTTTTTGTACGTTGTATCTTTGGCAGCAGTGGAAGACGTTCTATTATTAACGAACTTTCCTCAGAAATGTACCTATCAGACGAATTGAAAATCTGATAAGTTCAAATCCAGATATGCGTCCCCGACCGTTTCTTCGCCTCGGCGCAAAACATAGGCGTGCGGTGTATATTTCAACATAAGATGTCGAGAATTCTGGTGGCGACATTAGAAATATTTGACTCATTGCTTTTGCATTTTTTGCCTACATAAGTAAATTTATAATAGCTTTTGAGACATAGCATTGTAATGACCAAGGCGATTTTGTTATTAAAATGTGTTAGATCTCAGCGATATTAGATATTTGCCATTGAAAGAGACATGTGAGGTTTATTTTTTATAGTTTGAGATGAAGAACTGTAGAGTTTACGATGCTAATAATGAACGAATTGTGTTTAAGTGATCACACTTGGTCAGGTTTCGATATGACCAGCATCTTTTGATCAAACTTTGTGTCAAGTGGATGAACTCTATAGCCTCATACATAATTGCTTTCATCGATTTTTTAATCACATTCCATATGGCGTTAAGGCTGGATATAATCGAACACAATCTAATTGCTGACAGAATTGCGTGGAAAGTACAGGGTGAACTTACTCGACGCCATATTTCATATTCTAAAGAAGAAATCTGAGACTGACGTATTTAAATCCAAAAAATACTGTTTCAGACTAAAATAATTGTTTTCCGTGAATCAGATTTAAAGTGATAGTGACGTAGCGTTACTTTGCAGCTTTCTCTTTTGTGTTCAAGTGAATGATTTATTTTTTTAGACTTCAGACTGATATAGTGCCCTGGGCTGTAATTATTTCACATTGTTGTGTTCTTCTATCGTTTACTGTCCATGTATTAGCCCTTACACTTAGCTTATTTAATCCAAGAACTGAGATTTTAATCTTTTTGTAAAATGAGTAGTTTTTTCTCTTCCTGTTTTGGGATTAGGTGGAAGAGGAGCCGCAGGATGAACTTTGCCTCACTACATATAATAAAGCAGTTCTTATTCTTACCTGTACTAGGATCGATAAAGTCTTGTTCAAAGAGCTGCGCTTTAATCATAAAAAACCACTGGCATATATACAGCTGCCATTAGTGATTGACCATAACCTCAAATATCATGTCATCAACAGATGTGACGTCATATTTGTAGGCTAAGATGCTGTTTCTCTAACTGTACTACAAATCTTTGTGATCAGCTCAGTTTGCCTTGATGCTACGCCACTGTGTGGCGGTGAAATGTCTAATTTGTGCCTCTAAGTATCCATCTACATAAAAGGTGAACTATAGTAGAAACGTCCGTATTATATGGTCGAATGCATCGTAAAGTTGCGTGAATAAAGGCTGGAAACACGGGAGGCGGCACTATTAGGAAAATTTTAGACACGCCGATAACTATTCCAGTACTATTTACTTATTCGTTATACGGAAGCAACTATATATAGACGAATAAATTGGGAAATTAAGAAAAATCAGAGCATTATCTCCTCTTTTGAGAAGCTGAAACGATAATGAATTGTTCTATTGATACTGATACAGTACCAAGTTCCTGATCATGGAAGTTGTTTAAGCATTAAAGTACTACTACTACTACTTTGAGAAAACATCATGATAAATCAGATTTCGTAGCAGCATCTATGACAATGTGTTACAGCTGTTTCTTTGTTTAGTTTATACGTATACTTTAATAGATGGCGCTGTCTATATCAGCTTCTACAAGCATACAGGTGGTTACAGCGCCATCTACGAGACACTGGCCGTTTCAAAGTATATAAGTAAGTAGAGAAACAGCTGTGGCAAATTGCGTAGATGACGCTACGCTATGTCAGTTTATCTCAGATTTTTTTTTGGACGCGGGAATATAGCATAAGGTTGACTATGTTATTTCTTTTGTTCCCAATTGTTGTTGTTGTATAGGTAGGTAGTAGTAATAATAAAACTAGCAACACAACCAGTATCAAAACTTGATGTCAAGCCCACCAGACCTCCAAGCGTAAGTTGCTTCTTTTCCCGATCAAACTGCGTCATGATGTATATCTCAGTTCTAAAATACCTTCAACGCTCTTTTCTAGAATGTGCGATGATGTTTCCTCCTGTTCCCAACAGTTGGTACAGGTAGAATCTTTTTCTATTCTCATGAGAAACATATTTGCATTTAATTTGTATTGGCTTCCAACCAGAAGTTTAAGCGACTTTCTACCTTTGTTCGATAGCCATAGCGTTACATCATTCTCTATTATGCCAATAGGTAATATTTCTATCCAAGATTTACTTACAAAGACGTTTATATGATGCCTCAACTTTTTGTGGATTGCTATTCAGATTGCGGTTATGCCTGCAACATTTTTTCAACAATTAAATACTGAAAACGATTCACCACGATATTGTTTATATTCTGCAATGGTTATATTTTTGTTGACCATTGCATTGTAATTGATTCAACATCCTCCTTCTTTATATCAATTATACAACAGCAAAGATACATCAGTCCTCTCAATTAGATGTTAATCTCTCCTGATCTGCGATCTCTATCTCAACTAGCCAGCGAGTTTGTTAACATCGCATTAAAGATGTGAACGCGGTGGAGATTTAGTAACCGATCTTCCTTCTGCATTCTTCTTTCTGTTGACCAACGTCGTCGATTCCTTTCTGCATAACAATGATGTTCCCCAATTGAACCAGTGCATATTCTGTCTTGGAAAAGCGGAGATCACTCGCGAGAAGTGTGGTTAATAACTTTATGAACTCAGAAATTATTATCAAAACCAACCTGCACCTCGCCCCATAGCTGCTTAAATTTTAGGGTCCTAGGCGGAATATTACACGACTAACCTCAAACTGCGTATTTGACAATCCTGGGTTGCCCGTCATATAGACTACCGTCCTTTGAAGTTTTTTACGAATCTACGCCCCTGTGTGACTGTCTTCCAGCGCATGCTAGATCGAAAAACTCATTTCAAACAAAGAAAGGAACTCGGCAGCCTGTGTATGACCATAAATAACGACGTCAAAAGCCGTAAATATTTGTTGACAAATTTTATGGGTTCGGCCACCCAATTTTTGTTTGGAATAGAGGCTGGTACATTTACAGCACGGGTACTTTACAAGGCGATTATTGCGCCGTGGTTTACACGCCTTATTCTAAAGCGTACTTGACACAGAAAGAGACATTTTTGTAAAGTTATTACGGACTGTGTGGGTACTTTTCCCCAGAGCCGCTTTAGACGATTGTTTGTCCATATTTATAATCGGTATCTTAATTTACAACGGTATACAAGGTGATACCTTTTTATTTTTACGGCCAACTTAAAATTAACTGCATCTTGATAAAATAAATTATTACAACGTTTATATATTGAAATTTATTTTTTGTAATAACACACTTCTCCTGGTCTAATAACATCCCTATATTGTATCCCCACCAGTCACCAGTCAAAAACCTTAACCACCAATATTTTATCACTATTTATAATTCTTTTTAGCTCTTATTTTTCAGTAATTACTAATAATTTTAGGTCTTTGTCTACAGTAATTGCATTATGCATCTCGAAGATGTAGGGATTAACATGTTTTACACATATCGGTGTTTTAGGATGGGAACGACCAAACTGTTTTGATTGCTTTGAAGAAATTCATTAACCCATGAATTTATAACAAATGTTTACTATTATGATGTAAAGAGAAAATGATAATCATCCATGCTTGGCTGCTAAATAAAATGAAACACGTATTAGTAGTCACATTTCGATCTTTTTCAAGTACAATTTGGCAATTTTGGCAATACATTGCTTATCTGTCTTCGTTTGCGTTTTCTTTCATTTTACATTGTTATACAGCGTGTTATTACAATAAATATTAAGATGACACTGCCAAAAGGACACGCGAACATGATGTCTGCCCTTTTTTTTTAATATACCGGACACGTCATCCGCGTTTTTGGCTGACTATTGATCTTTTCGAGACGACTATTCGATAGGGAGTGATTAGGCATGGAGAACGACATTTCCTCGCACTTCTTGGGTTTCAAATAAGCATTCTAGCTTCTTATAATCATAAATAATAGTTTTCACTGGGCGCGTTCGTGCCCAGAGCCCCTATTTTTTGACTTTAAGCCATGAAAAACTTGAAAAGTTGATAAAACCTTTACAACGAATATTATGGCATTTATAGTCTAAGGGTCGTATCGTCAGTCGTTCCTACAATTGTAGGACATCTGTTTGATTTTCATAGTATTTTCTCTTCTTCAGAAAGGCTGATTTCTAACGTGTCAGTGTCAGAGCTCTCCTATTGTGAGGCTATGTTTTCTTTTTGAACTGTAGAAAATTTCAAGCTGATATAACAGATGGTATGAATCAAAAGCATGAACCACTTGATGCAAATAGATATTTGTAACATAACCTCAAAATAGAGCGCTGACATGGAACAGTAGAAAACTATGAAAATCAAGGAGGACATAAAGACGTCCTGCAATTGTAGGAAAGACTGACGATACGGCCCTAGAAGGATGAAGTTGTATATATTAAGCAACAAATCTATACCGAGCATATCAAATTTGTCCTATAAAAGTTGTGACATTATTGCAGACGTAGCCTTCAACAGTTGCTAAATGACAGTTGAATAAATACTTCACTTGGGAGCAACTTGTTGGCAAAAGTAGTAATTTTGCACATCAAAGCAACAAGGCTCGGGTTTGTTGTATAAATGTTACCGAGGATACCACAATACAACGATTTTGCCCTAAAAAATAGTTGTATAAACGGTTTGTGCAGCAGTTGTCCCACATTTGGGTTAAAGAATTCACGCTATACGTTACTTTTGAAACAAACTCGTTCCTATTGATATTGCATAAAAAAACTAACGTCAGCCATTTCCTGAATAAACATTCTTTCCGCGTATCATCCTGATAACAATAGTGTATTCAACCGAAACACAATACGCAACAGTGACCCCTCTTAACAACATTTGCAAAGAGCTGATTGGTCGACAGCGAACCCGTAGACGCCTTGCAATGCTTATAGAACAATAATTAGCCCAATGAAATCGTATGTGTGCAGGACGTCTTACTGTGCGCTATTGTTATCAGGAGTGCCTTGGAACGCGATTGTTTGCGGACGGCTGGCCAATAGGAAAGCGCGATTACTTAATTTATATATTTATGATAATTGTGCCGGTTTCCAATGGCTTTCGGATCGACCAGTTCTGGTATTTGAGAAACTAGTTTACAAGGGTGGGTCAACAATCATTCTATGCACAAGAATCTTTAATAATGTACCGGATGATCTTAAAAGGATAAAAAGCTGTTTAAAGCTGTTAATTTAATTTTGGTTTTTTATGTGTTTTGTATATAATGGGTAATTTTTTTGCTAGTATCTTTCTGGCAACACCGTTTTTGACAGATGACGCGTGAATCGTGTCTTGTGTCATTGTCAAACTTGTTCAGTTTGGTCTATAATTTAACCATGAATCGACTTACGAACGAACAACGCTTGCAAATTATTGAATTTTACTATCAAAATTCATGCTCGGTTAAGAGAGTGCATCGAGCACTGCTTCCAATTTATGGGTCGGCCTACTGAGGGAGCTATTCGGAAGCTTGTGACTAAATTTCGAACCACGTTTACATCATTGGACATTAAACCACCAACACGCAGACGTAGAGTGAGGACTGAAGAAAATATTGCAGTTGTATCCGCCAGTGTTAGTGATGACCGTGAAATGTCGATTCGCCGCCGTTCGCAGCAATTGGGCCTACGTGGAAAATTTTGCGACAGGATTTGGGAGTAAAACCTTATAAGATACAGCTGGTGCAAGAATTGAGCCACCCGACCTCCAACAACGTTTCCAATTTGGTGAATGGGCGCTGGCAAAGTTGGAGGAAGATCCACATTTTCATCGAAAAATTGTGTTCAACGACGAAGCTCATTTCTGGTTGAATGGGTACGTTAACAAGCAAAATTGCCGCATCTGGAGTGAAGACCAGCCAGAAGCATTGCAAGAGCTACCAATGCATCTCGAAAAAATCACTCTTTGGTGTGAATTATTGGCCGGTGGCATCATCGGGCCGTACTTCTTCAAAGACGACAATGGCCGGAATATACGTCTTGAAAAATCACCCGTTACTTGTATTTTTTGTATAACTTTATGCATCCTCTATATTAGTTTTAATGTCGAATGAATAATGAATCAAATAAGACAATTATGCTATGTTCAGAGAAAGAGAATCTATAATTGTTTCTTGGGATTTAGCGAAGCTTGAGGTATGGACTTTCCTTGGATTTTGAGCTGAACAAGAATTTAACATGTGCTTGTCACAGTAGAATGTTATAGGCTCTCATCCAGGTCAGAAAGATTTTACTTTGCTGGCCGTACCTACTTATCATTTTGAACCTGTCGTTTATAATGTACCGGACGCATCACCCTCGTCCATCGTCCCGAAAACACCAAAAGTTGTCAGGAAACGTGAAAACCCACCCAGAACTGCATGTGTACTGTTTATGGATTTGAACTGCGAGAAATAGTACTTCGACGTGCAAAAGGAGATCATCTTGTTTGTCTTGCGAGGAAATAATATAAGACACAACGGTGTGGCCTTGAGATGGCGAAGTAAAACATCTGCGTATTTGAGATCCGATAACAAATCATAAGAAAAAACAAAGAGTTATACCGGACAGCTCAAAATACAGCCTCACCTGGAGCCATCTTGGAAATCCTCAATATTTTCGAGAATGAGTTTGAAACGGCATCGTTGTAAATAAATGAATTATATAACATCATTTTTTGAGAAAACAAATACTACTCACTTATTTGTACATACGAGGGATATCTTTTAAGTTTTGCATATAGAAACATAGTAGGCCGCGCGGATCGAACGTCAGTACTGAATCTTAACCTCACTCTTTAGTAAACTTAAATTCAATGTTTCACAACAATGCGTGTAGTGTTCTCACTACAGTGAATTTTTAAGTGTCACCAAGTCATTAGAAAAATGGAACGCAACCGAGAAAATTATCGCGCCATAATTTATTACAACTTTCAGAGACAATTATCGCAACAAGAATGCCTTGCTGAGTTACTGTCTGTTTTCGGCAACGAAGCGCCACATCGGTCGACAATTTCCCGTTGGTATGGAGAATTCAAC